AACCATATTATTAATGTCAACAGGCATATTTATAATTTGTCCAATATTCCAAATTGCCCATTTGCATGTCTCAATCGTCTAATTTGCATGAGTCCTTTCTCCCAATTTAATTTTTAGTTTGCTCGTCAGTAGAGTCCCTTTCTCGCAATTTTATTTTATTGCTTGCTCGTCAGTAGAGTCCCTTTTTCGCAATTTAATTTTCAATTTGCTCGTCAGTAAAGTGCTTTTTTGGCAGTTTTATTTTTTAGCTTGCTCGTCAGTAGAGTTCCTTTCTCGCAATTTAATTTTAGTTTGCTCGTCAGTAGAGTCCTTTTTCGCAATTTTATTTTTACCTTCCCGAAGGAGAAGTTTATGTTTTCATAAAAAAATCCGATTCTCTAATTTTATGTTTTCGCCATTCTGAATCGAATGAGACCAAATTTGGAAAAAGTATGTGTGTGTGTGTATGTGTGTGTGTGAACAGATTTTTTAGCTTGCTCGTCAGTAGAGTCTTTTTTTCGCAATCTTATTTTAAATTTGCTCGTCAGTGGAGTCCCTTTTCGCAATTTTATTTAAATTTGCTCGTCAGTAGAGTCCTTTTTTAAATACAGAAGAAAGAATAAAACAAAATTATAATAAAATTAATTGAAAATATAATCAATGTTTAAATAATGTTTTCCTAGTGGACTCTACTGAAACGCGGTTCTTAACTCAACTTATGATAACATCCTCCCAAGAACTAAACCAACTTGAAGTTAGCTAAAACTATAATTTAAAAATTTCCGTTTCAATTCAAACACTTTTGTTTTCAATTTTAATAAACTTTATTCAAAAATAATGCAATAACATTAATTACAAATTTAAAATTATATTTTTCGCATATAGATATATAATATAATTATATATTATAAACTATTATATTTATATTTATATATATAACACTATAATAGCTTAAAATTAAGAAAATAAAAAAAAATTGCCTAGAAATACTAAATTCATTTATAAGTCCCACTTAGCACTGCGAGGCGACAAGGAATATATATATATATATATATATATATATATATATATATATATGAATATATATATTTGCCGCCATATATATTTATATTTAATATATTATTTATTATTTATAATCTTATGTACAGTCAATTGTCTTATAAACTAATTTAAACCAGGGATAAGTGACGTCACAAAAGCAAATATATATAATATATATATATATATATATATATATATATATATATTAATCGCCTTTTATTCTGTTTGCAACGGATTTCCTTTGTGTATTTTTGTATAAAAGAATTTTTTCTCCTAAACTAAGAAGCGCAGAGTTCCGAAACCAAAATTGTTAGATAGTAGATACTTTGTATTATATTATATATTTTTTGCAAATTTTTAGCACTGTTGTAAGTATTTGTAAAAATCAAAATGTATTTGTATTGCATGGTTTTCCTATGCCGAAAAATCGGTATAAAGTGACGTCACCAACACGACGCGTGTCTTTTATCATACATTCTTAAGTCTATTTATTATTTACAACTATTTCTAAATGTTTGTTTGAAAATGTTTAAAATGAATTTATAAAAATTACAAATCAAGAATGGAAAGTAAGTTTTAAATAGAAAGCGAAAATGTAATTCATATGTAAAAATTAACTAAAAGATTTAGGATTAGTTTAGTAACGATGGCGTCATTAAAGACAATTGCATTTAGGTAAAGATTTTGTTTATGAAAATATTAGAGAAAGTTAAGAAAAAGAAGAATAAATTAGAAAGACAGTTTAAGATACAGAAAACAATATAAATTGTAAAAACTACTTGAAGATTTAATACTTGTTTAGTAACGATGATGTAATTAAGGACAATTTTCTTTAAGTAAAGATTTTGTTCATGCAAAAATTAGGGAAAGTTTAGAAAGTCAACAGAAAAAGTAATAAATTAGATAGAAAGTCTGAGATAAAAAAAAACAATATAAATTGTAAAAGCTACAAGAAGATTTAGTATTTGTTTAGTAACGATGACTAAACGTTATTAAGGGCATTTTTTTTTGAAAATTTTATTATTATATGAGAGAAAGTTTAGAAAGTCTACAGAAAGAAGAATGAATTAGAAGTTAACTAGACAGTTAAGTCAAAGAAAGCAAGTAAAAATTGAATAAAAAGTTTAGTATTGATAGAATTTGTGAAATTTGAGGAAAGCATGAAGTACAAAATACGTATTAGAAAGAAGGAAATAGCATAAAGAAAATATTAAAGTAGAAAGACCTTGTAATTTGAGAAAAAAAATATTTTTACATAAAAATATTATAAAGTAATATAAAAAGACAGGTATTGGAGAAAAGTGTGAAATGTGATAAACATTATGACATTGAAAAAAAGTATAAATTAGAAAGATTCAATAGAAAAAATAGAAAGCACAGATGAAATATCATTAGAAAGCACTATAATTATAAATTTAAAAATAGAAAAAAGTAAATTAGAAAGATTTGATTAGAAATAAGTGTAAAATTAGAAAGAGACAATTAGAAAGTTTAAATTGAAAAAAAAATAGAAAATTGAAAGAAAGCTTAAATAATAGAATCAAAAAGTATAAATGAAAAAGCCTTAGTTAGAAAAATGTATAAAATTGAAAGAAAGCTTAGTCGTAAAAGGAAGTTTAAATCACACAGAAAGCATGTTAGAAAGTATAAAGTAAACTATTATGATTGAAAAAAGTATAAATTTGAAAAAAAGTATAGAAGCGAAAGTTGTAATTGTAAAGAAAGTATTATTGAAAAGATCTTATAAGAAAGAAAGTATAAAATTTGAGAGAAAGCCTAAACTAGAAAGTTTAAATCGTAAAGAAAGCACAAAATTAGAAATTATGAGTTGAAAAGCTCTAATCAGAAATAACGAAATGAATTCGTAAAGAAAGCACAAAATAAGAAAATACAAATGAATGAATAACTTAGTTAGTAAGAAAGTATACAAAATTTAAAAAAAGCTCAAACTAGAAAGTTTATTTTGTAATTGGCGCAACAAATTAAAAGGTATAAATAAAATAGCCTAATAAGAAAGATGCACAAATTTTGAAGAAAGTCCAACTTAAAATTTGATACAAATAAAATATAATTTATAAAATTGGAAAGTATAATTTTTCATTAATCATAACTTAAAAGAAATGTAAAAA